AACAACATTTTCGCTAAGGAAAAAGTTGTTTCAAATCACCTCCCGAATCACCCCTTTCAAGGTGTTACAACATTTTTGGGACACCCTTAGAAAGTATATTCTCTATATACTCAAAGGTCTATCTCCCATATAAGGGCCAATCATTACAATCTTCAATCACTACCAAAGAATAGAACTTAGAGATAAAATAGTCAAGGAAATAGATGAGCCGAACCAGAATGTGTACGAACTACTAGTATTAGATAAACTGAAAATTTATAAAGCTATCATTAAGTTTTTAAAAGCAGCAAACTTAAGATGCAAAAATTAAGACTGAATTTAGTTGATAGAAAAAAGTGTATATTTAGGCAATTATTATATAGTAATACTGTTTCTGATATGTTATCTTATGTATAATACGTAGCATAAGTAAAACCAAAATGTGTATTATAGGAAAAGTGTAAGGAGTCCAATAGAACTACACTATAATAAAGCATAACCTAACCCTAACCTCCCATTGAAAATTTTATGCAATTTTAGACTATGTTGATGTAGGTATCGGTAAAATGCCCTGGATCTATTAAAATTTTGGTATGTTTTACGAAATTTATTTAAATTGTACAATGTTAATTCATATTAAAAATTGTCCATGTGTTCTTTTGTTTCCTCCTTTGATCTATCAGTCAAAAATGTGCGTTAGGAAAAATTAAATCCTCCGTACAATTTTCCCTGTAAATTTAATGTTATATCATAAAGATGAGTAAGTTGCAACAACTCTAAACCTTATATATGCTTTGATCCGTCATGTAAAGCAAAATCGTCCACACAGATAAGAAACGTTTGTGTAATGGAAAACTGTGTGCGAGCAAAGCTGTACCAACTTCGTCGGAACTTCGTGTTTGCTTAGGCTCGTCTCTGGCGAAAGCATTTTTCGAATATAGTCACGACGATACGAAAAACCTGTTGAATTTAGTAGCGTCGGAAAAAACACCGAAGCCCTGTTTTACGATTCCAATCGATGATCGTTTACACGAGGACGTTGCGTCGCCGACCAACGACGATGTCATTAAAGCGAACGCCCATGAGAATATATTGGGTAACGTTACGAGGAACCAAACCTATTTGACGTAATTACAGCTTTAAATAAACTTATTAGAAATAGGTGAAGACCTGTTAGAATGCTTTCGGAAGCAGATCGAAGAAGATTTACGAACGAAAATAGAAAGACAGTCGCAAGAGAAGTTTCATGTGTATCAGGCGAAAAAAAGGAGGGAAGCCGAGCTAAAAACGCGGGAGTTGCACGCGAAATATGAGAATTACATTAAAACCGTTCAGGACGAGTTACAGGAACAGCTGGAGGTATTGAATCTTTTTACGATATCTTATTTCAATTTGTTTTTCACTTCGTATGTAGTTTAAATAAATATGATTATCTAGCGATAAAAAGCTTAAGATCGAAACTACGCGTGCTACGCCTCAGAGGGAAACAAATTTCTCCCGATTCCTTTTGAATATTATACACACACAGAATCGCTCGATTTCTTTTACGAGTCCATGATTTTCTATAGAATTTATTCTTTTCACTGAATCGAGTATATTTTTGGTCTTCAGGCAGAATGGGCAAACGCTGCTGAGGAATGTGCCAAGAATACTCAGAAAGCAGTTGTGCAGGAACGAATGAACGTGACCCATGATATGATGCAAAAGATGAGAACCGAAATGGCTTATGTTGTACAGTCCTTATACAGAGAGTTCGAGGATACTTTTCGAGCTCAAAGAGAGAACATAATCGCTGATTTCAATGGAATTATGAGGTTCATAATTACGTATTAGAATTTTATAGAGAAATAAAAACCATTTGCGCGAGAAAATCCATGTTCTGCGATCGTACTGCCACATTCTCCTCGATGAGAGACCAACCTTTATTTCTCCCTACGATAGACATAACATAAACTCAACTTCCTAAAATATATGTAGGGAAACGCATGTAAAATTAAACGCAGAGAAAAGAGAATTCGAGTCGAAAGTGGGCAGAGATTTGTACGTTCAGAAACACCAGCTTCAAATGCAAAGTACCGTAGATATAATCAATACCCTCTGTTTGGAACGATTACGATTTTGTAAAGAAAAACATACCATACACGAACATTTTCAGGTAGATTTCGATTTCGTTTGCAGGTATTACCGTTAGTCTAAAACAGAATATTTATTTATACGATATTACGCCCAAATAGAAACAAATAGCCGGCTTTCACGAACTGATCGCTCAACTGAAGGATGTTATATGCCTGATGAGGCAGGAGATTATTAATTGTTACGTTGAGAAAAAGTCGTTGGAAGAACAACTTTGCGATGTCGTTAAACAGTTTCAGAAGTTCATCAATTTTATATTTCACACTGTACCGGGACAAGCGGAATATTTGTTGCCATTAGAATTTCAACGATCGATAGTCTCAGACAAAAATAAAGAAGAAAAGAATAGCAAATCTTAAAGACCTATCTAGGTATACCAATGTTAACATTTACGGAATTTTATAGTAAGCTCTCTGCATATGGCATACCGTATGCGTAGTTAAAGTTATAATTTAATGAAAATGCGCGCCTCAAATGAATTTTTATCTCAAAAGAATACACTTGGAGAAATCTTAACTTGATATAATTACAAATTTTTTTCTTTTCTTCGTATCGACATATACTATTATGTTTACTTCAATTTCGTTATTAGTTCGCATTGTCAACGCATACCGAGAGATTATATTTAGAAGGGCGATACCATTCCGGGTCTCTCTGGAGACTCGATATTCTTGGATGGAAGAATTCTCTTATCATAACATTTGTTTGTCCAACCTTGCTTCGCGGTACAGGCGAGTAATCCGAAAGATGCCATCCATACACCCAACTTGTACAGTCGGGAAAGAAGTAACGATCTTCGGGAATATCTTTTAATCTACGACGATCGATGACAATGTCAGAATGAAACTAGTAATTGTACAGGCCAAGGCACTTGAAACAGATTGTCACGTTTACTTTGTTAGACGCAAAATGGTTCGAACAAATCTTGCTTCATTCAAAAAACTACAATTTAACGTATGTAAACGACGAAATTACGAAAGTGTTTTGTCTATTCCGTTACGGTTAAATATTTTCATTCGTAGTTGACCTTTAACGACTTTGAACCGTAGGTCATTGTACGCATTTCAAAGCGCTCTATTAAAAGATACACAAGAGACCATATCACGTCACGTAGAAAGGCGTAGTTGACCTTCGTATCTTCTTTACACGTTCGGTTAGTTGTAAAAAAAAAATAACTAAACGAGTTATTCGGGTGGCTTAAAAAAAGTATACTAAGATACTTTTGGTGTTGTTACTAGGTTGTCCCATAAGTTCTCGGACACTTGATGCTTGAAATTCTTTATGACATTTGATCGAAATCGGAATTGAACAATTGGCAGAAAGGTGGATGAAAAGTACCGGAAGCGATGGCGTTTATTTTGAAGAATAAGTATTGTTTGATTATAATGTTATTATAAAATAATTGATCGGTAGCAAGTGTCCGGGAACTTATGGGACAACCTAGTAAATATAAATAGATAACGCTGAGGTAACGAAAGAACTTGAGGGTAACGTTTTGTTTTTCATTATTTTAACCTTTCATGGAAATAATTATCAGCGTTGACGAAGCTTGGAACGTCGTGGTATAAAATTGCTCTAACTCGGGGATCGATCGGTTTCATTATATCCATATTGATGGAACCATCAGGTTTGAGCGGTCTCCAATTAGGCAATGGTTTTGGGAGTATCTATAAAATAGAAAGCCGTCGCTTAACTTACGACGCGCAACAAGAATAGTTTGTACAATACGTCACGTGTTTGCGTACAATGCCTGTGCTCGATTGTTTCACTGTGGATGGTTCGATTATCTCCTGAGTTTCCGTCGCTTTTAGATGATCTAGCAATTTCTGTTGATTTTTTCGAAACCATTTGATCCGTAGAGATTCTTCTTTCCGTACCATAGCCACGTGAAACGCTTGGCAACGGGCGTTGCAAATTCCTCTGGTCGGCATGATTCAATTTAGTTCGTCGCGCACGATAATCTGCGTAAAAACGTAACAAAGAATTTGAATATTACACCATTAACCCGGAAAGTTTAAATTCCGAAAGAAAATCTTTTCACGTATCGTTAATCAATTATGCATTGCCCTGAAGTAAAATTACGAAACGACGCCTCGATGCTTTAATGTTTATTTCATGTTATTCATGAGCGAATTCTTCCATTAGTATTGTTTACTATACAGCAGGGGAGAATTATTGTTATATATGATTTTCGTACTTTAAAGAATTATTTTATTTACATCGTTATTACATATAATACGTCTCGTTATACGAAGATCAATTATTTTTTGCATGTGCTATCGTTATAAACTTATACGTATAATAATACCAGTGGGAGCATTGTTTTATGTACAAATCGATCGAAAGGAAATTAGTCGATTCCAGAGGCAGAGAATACGTCTCTGCTGTTAGAGTTAATATCGGAGAATGCATAAATACTAAATAGTATGTTTGTTAATTTTTAGATAAATAATTGATGGAAATTGACTGGTTACCCCGTGACTTCCGCGCAGAAATTAGAAACTAGATTTGGAATCTGACGACAATAAAAAGTGGGCTGCTGGTATTACGTTTCGCTAAAGCACAGTGAGTATTTATTTAAACACTTAAAACAAAAGTGTACATACAAATTTTGCGCGATAATAAAATTAAAAAAATGACTGCAAACGCGCAAACGTTTGCTGAACACCGAATATGATTCTTTGAACGTATGTTTATTTGGAACATGTGAATTTTATACGTATTTATCTGTATATCGTACGTGCACAGATACACCGTATTATAATCTGAATGATTCAGACTGAATCTAGCTGGCCAATTTCACGAAAAAATTTCTTTAAGAATGGTACAAATCTGGCGACATAGGAATAATTTTGAATGCCCTTTTAGAAAATAGTACGTACATTGTCGTAACGTGTATATGAAAAAAATATTTCTAAAAAAGTGTTTACATCGTATATACTTTTTACGTGCTTAAAGGCCACCGACGTATTTTGTATAGTATCAAACAATGACGTATCGATGAGTTGTATTACGGTGCCGTAACAATAAATAAATATGGCGTGAAATATGAGTTCTCACGTGATATTACTCCCTCTTAAAGTCAACATCAAATGACCCAGTAATCACAGCCATAGGAAGCAATATTGTGGTACATCATAATGTGTAGATGCAATGTTGTTTATATTACAAACTGACTAAGGAGCAATTATTAATTTGTACTTGGATAATCAAGACGAATTGTGCTTATAGCACAATAACATTGCCGTTTCCTTCCTAGTCTGTTCTTTCATACTGTACATACTCAAGTAACATTAACTTATCTATATTGCTCTACAAAAATAATTACTTTACACCGTTCGCAGTTGATCTAGACTGCTACTATAGTAAACAATTTCTCCTTCGCATTAATCTAAACATTTTCCTTCTCACGCAAAACTTATCTAGAGATTCGTTTCGAAATCCGATGTATTACCTTAGTAAACTTACGTTTTTCTCTAAACTTAGAACGTGCGCTATATTTTATATAAATATCAAATACTAAAATTTTACATTTTTATTTGAAGCAAATGAGAATTTTTTTTTTTAAATGTGAATCCGTAAGTCAGAGATTATCTTTCAATTGTGCTGACTTAATTATGCTATATACAAGTTATCGTTAAATTTTTCCATGCATCCCACTGTTTTCTTTTAAACCTAAGCGTATGGTACAATGTTGAATATATATAATCTAGTTTATTATTTAAGCAGAGCATGTCTATCAAACCTAACGTTTTCAAACAAATGCTCGTATTAGTTTTTTTTCATTTGTAACTTGTTAGATATAACTTTGCTGTACTGAAGTGAAATACTCTTAACAGTTCTCTTTTTGTACAAAATACGTATATATTTATTTGATTCAAAATTAAATACGACTCACCCTAATGGACAATTATTGTTACGTTTCGATATTTTTGTATACATTAAATAATTTATGAGTGTCAGAGATAGGTTCACACAAGTAGGCTAACATATAAGTTACTTTATAACAAAAATACATAATTTTTTCATAAATAAATTGAATGTGATTTACAAATAATTTTGTGGTGTTTTTGTTATGTATTGTAGTCATAAAGTAATAAATTTCAACGTGTTGGACAACAGTTGGCAATACTAGTATTAATGAATATTTCTCCTTCGGAGTATTATAGCTAATTGTTGATTTCAATTTTGTTGCTTCTTCCAAAGTAATGTATGACACCAGTAGATAGTTTGTCTAATAGAATATTTGGTAATGTTTCATAATGTTATAATACAAAATGAAATAAAATACTTGTTATCTAATTCTTTGCTTCGTATTTATCAGTCAATTCATAGTGTTCAATTTGTTTCTGTTGTCGATGTCGCGATTATCGTATCATTTGTTTTACTTTTTGCGCAAGAAAATGCAATTATTTCATTACGATTGGAAAATGTTATTTAAAATAGTCACATATTAGGAAGTAACTTACGAAATTTTCTGATGCCTCTTTCATACTAGAGAGCCTGCGTCCTGCACTTGGCTCAGGCGTGGATTTTTAATTGAATGTACTTATTCTTTATGAATTATTATACACATGTAATAATACCACAATAACAGATGAATTAACAAAATATCACTCTTCGTCGATAAACTCTTGAAATACGAAAAACGGACGCTTATTCTTCATCCAACAGTGTTCCGGTGTAAAAGCGACGTTGAACAATTTAGATATACCTAACTTGTAGTCACATCGAGTAACACTGAGGTCGGGGAATTTTTATTAAGGTATACGCTTACGTCTTGAAAGCGACTAGACCTAGACAGGGCAGCCTGATTCTGATTTGTACCAATTGCCTCATTGTCAACTTCTGGTCCACAATAAGCATCGTCTTGTTTCTCGTGTAACACGTATTTGAAAAATTCGTATCTAGAAAATGTTTGAAAAAAAATATTTTCATTACGATACTTCGATTTAGTTTTAAATCGATGTAATTATTAACCAGTGCTGTATACTTACGTCGACCAACAAATAGTGGTTGCTGGCATTTGGTAAATAACGCGGGCATTTAAACCACGGAAGTAACCGCGTGCCCCGCCGTATGCATAGACTTTCCTAAAAGCATCTATCATACCTTGAGCATGTACACCGTTTTGGGTATTTAAAAGCGTCTTACAAACATCTAAAGGTGTCGTGATTGCAGCAGCAACAGCTCCTGCTAATGCACCTACAATATATAAACAAGTTTTAAAATAAAATCCATTTCTCGAGAACGTTAATGTCAACGTTTTTTAGACGAGACGTACATACCAGATACTATGTGTGCTGGAGGATTATACATGTGTCTTGGGTTTGTGAAGATTTGCGACACTTCATAAGTCATGAAGTGAATCATTTGAAAAGGTACATTCATAGCCAGCTGAGTCGTATAACTTCTATAGAATGCATATAAACCTTCAGTTTTATATATACTCTTTATACATGTCATGACATTTCGATATGGGGAGTTATACATTTGTAATCGCTGTTTAACCACTGGAATAAGATAATTTAATTCTTCATTGAATAAAATTCTAAAAATTACGAATCACATTTAGCTCGTTGTATTTCCCAAGAAAGGAAAATTACACAAATGTAGCATTATATAAATTAATTATATTGTATCGCGAAAAGGTTTAAGAAAATTTACCTTCTGCTGGATTCATCACACCATCGTGAAGAAGCGTTGCTATACAACCAGCGGTTCCATACACCGTCAAATTAAATTCATTGTGATTTCTCGAACTCAACAGCTTATTTTTAATGAATTCATAGCATGAAAAATATAATGCGTGAGCAGGACCAGCTCCCACAACCATTGCACTCATACCACGAATCGGTCTCAAAAAACCTTCCTGTCGTATCATTCTAGTCCAGACTTCTCCCATTCCTCCTCCGGCACTTGGACCTGGAGTCAATGCCTGCATTCTTGTCTAAATGTTGACAAGAAATAATGAAAAAATTTAGTAAAAATCGATATTCTTATTACTTTTAACAGAAGCAAAATAAAAAATAATAAAAGTTTTCAGTTGTTCTTAACTTTTAGACCTTGTAATTTTCATTTTGTTCTATCATATAATTTCATTGATAAGTAGATGTTGACAAGAGGATATCAAGATGTCAAGGTAATCTTAAATATCATGACTTGCAAATATTACAAGATAAAAACATCGGTTGACACTTCTCAAAGTATATGTAAACAAATTTTAAGATACTTTATAGTATGATAAACAATAGTGGAAATAATAACACGTTGCAAATTTTATGAATACAAAGATATTGAACTTTAAAATCTTTATTTTGTAATGCACTGCTTAACTGACAACAAATTGTAACGTGTTTAAACCTATGCATTTTCTGACAGTTAAAGGAGGAGTAATGATATAGGTTGTGGGCAGAAAGAAAACTAAAAATAGAACCTACTGCAACAGACCGAAGAAACTTGTTATATAATGAATGTTTGAAACTCATGCTCTGCTTAAGAATTTTATATATATTAATACCATTTGTAATTTCATTTAAATTGTTTAAAAATTACAAAGTAATCTTTGCTTTCACTGTCGTTTGTGTACAATTATTATTTAATGTTTAAATTTTCTTAACTTTAGTGCAACGTATATTGGTTTGTAACATGCAGATCAAATAGCAAAGTTACAGGTCGACAAAGATTACACTACAGTAAGCGTATTTATGTCCATTAAGAATTTAGATGGTCTTTTTTAGAGTAACCGTTTAAAAATAATTATGTAAATAATGTAAATAAATTAACAGTACATTAGAACAGTAAAGTAACGTGGTGAAATGATAAGAATGCTTAATTAAAAAATAATGAAGGAGGCGGTACATGAAATATTATATTTATTTTCATTACATAAAGTCTTTGATATTGCCTGTCAGCCCAATGTAGGTACTAGCATTAACTTGTACAGACAATTGTATTCATAGTTTTGATAAGTAGCCATCAAGTGTATGGTAGCCATACGATAATAGAACATAATTACTAAATCACTCGACCATTAAGTTGATTCATTTTTTGAGTACAACAACCTAGCAGTACCTGGAAATAATTATGAAACAATGTTGGCTGAGTTCACCGCACAATTTCCTTTGCAGTGATTTTATAAGAGACGGTAACAATCGTGCAATTGCAACGTTGTTGCAAACCGTCCGTTGTTGTACCGTCTGAAAATGCTCGATCGTACTTATCATGAAAATAAAAGTGTCTTCACTATTTACTCGTGATTACATACGATAACGATACGCGCGACTCGCTCGATTCCTGGGTTTCCACGAGGAAAGTGTAAAAATTCCAAGAATCGATCTAGCGCCGAAACCACGAGTCTGTCGTTATTCAATGACTGTGCAACTTACTATGTCACGGTATCGAATGTCATCGAATCTTCTTAGAATGCACAGAGGATCGAATATCGTGTACGGTTGGAGGTTATGTAAAAGTATCGTACGAAAAAATGGATAAAAATAATTACCTTGACACTGTCAAGCGGGTACATCACACAATGTTCCATAATTCCGGCGAATGCACCTGCTGTCATGTGCACGAACACGGAAGACGTGGGCAGAGTTTCGTATACTTCCGTATTCATGGTTTTCGCGAGGCGTCAACGCGAATTCCAGTTCACAGACTTTAAAGTGCGCACTTGTTATGCACTCCGCCGTAAGACGAGCGGACGGACGCACGGTTTTTCGGTCTGCGACCGAAATGCCGAGAGTTACCGCTGGTGTAGCAGCATTTACTTCACGATAGAAACGACTGTCCGATTCTAAACGTAATCGCTAGCGAACGTTCGTTCGTTCGTTCGTTCGTTCGAAATGACGAGACGTAATCGTACACGTTGATCGAATCTTAATGGAACCGTATTGGAATTGAAAAGACTCTGCTACCCCCCGATACGCAAACTACAATGTGCAATCCCCTCCACGTACTCGGGAACGCTAAGAAACTCGTATTCTGTCGGACTAGGCGCGATCGGTACACAGAGAAATCCAGAGGTGTACAGGATTTACGTGCGACCGTTTACTAGAATAGTTACGGAACTGGATGCATATCGGCATTACTCGCGATGTTGCACAAGTTAATACAAGTGAGGTTAGGCATACACGCACGTGCCGCGCATGCGTCGTAGTCACCACGTGGTTCGTGCATGCAGTGTGTTACGCAGCAGCGGTGGGCTTAATAAATAGTCTGACACTCTCTATAAGACGTGTTATGCATCTACATTCAGGTGCATGGTGAACTGGTGACGTATCGATACTATCGACGCTACTTCTTATCGATAGAGATGGGGTGCACAATCACTAACCGTTATTTATCACAGTGATCGCAAAGTCACGATCACGATGGTGATTTAATTTCATTCGCGAACGTGATCGTGGTTCTTTTATATTGCTAGAATTGCGTGATCACAATTCTCGATCTTAATTAAATTACTTTTTATAAAATGTTTCAATATACATATTAGGTCGTCCTAAAAGTTCGTGCCATTTATACTTCTATTTCTCAAATTAATATGTTGAACATACTCTTAAGTGTCACAAGAAAAGATAATCTGTCTCATTTCACAATAGTTTCTCACCTCTCTCACATAGTCATTATACCGTTACTAGCAAATTTCTGTGGTTTTTTATTAAATTTCGACACAGTCTTCGACACGAACTCATGGGACGACCTAATAGTTTGCACAAAAAATCCGCATATAATATCAATTTCAATTTCCTTTATTAAGTAAATTAGTAGATCATTTATTTTGTGTGGTGGCTACTTCAGTCCCATGCGAAAGAATATTTTCTAAAGCAGGATTACTTTTAACGAAAAAAAGAAACAGATTGCAAGCAGAGAAATGATCTATGCTATTATTCTCGAACAGCAATACATAGTTACTTATTTCTTATTATATATATTTCATTCCATTGTTATTTTGTTCTTTGTATTTTATTTATAGTATTCGTATTATGTTTCATGTATTAATTATATTATTTTCTAACAGTGTTACATTTTGTAAAAGTCTAAAGACACTTACAACTAAACTAAGACTTTTAATTCATAATTATAATTATATAATTATAGACGTGTAATTATAATTATAATTATATATTGTCTTATATTCATTACTCTTCACTGATCCTCATTAAAGCATTCCTCTATTTACTATTTACTATTTTCTTTACTTTACTTTATTTTATGCGGTGTAGGTAATTCGCATTTTTGTTTTGATGACGTTAATTACATACTTGTGTAGAATATATGTAGAATATACAGGTTAGGGTGTTTTTCATTACGGTGCATTTACATTTAGGCTGAAAATTCTAACAACGCGTGCAAGGAACGGTTATGTTGTTCACGGATCAGAAGCGATCACGAAAAATCACGAATCACGAGTGATTCACACGTACTTAGCAGTTCTAGCCATCTCTAGTTATCGATAGCGATCGCTTGGGTACAACGCGCGCTCGTTACTTGATTGTATCAATGTTCGATACCGATATTTGTACAAGGAGTACATATGATAACCACAAGAGATCGAGCAGGTATCGAATCGCACTTGAAATAAAGAAACGGTACAATAAGCTACTTTTTAAATAATTTTTACTCCTTTGAACTCAGTGTACATGAAAACAACGAGAGCGATCGAGGAATACACCGGGAAAGGTCACATTCTGATTGATAGCAATTGATATTTCCGGTCTGTTGTGTATTCGATAACAACCGTTCATCATTTTATATTTCAGGTAAAGAAAGGAAAGAGTTTCGATGGTAGAAATTGAAAAATAATATAAAAGAATCGTTTAATTTAAATGTATCAATTGTGCCTCAAATCGTCCAAGTTAAACTAGCCAATTGTCTCTGGTTCATAGCGGGAAAGTCCCAGCATTCAGATAGATTACCTTATATGCTAACGATACCCGGAAAATGTCAGCATTCGTGTAATTTGTTATTGCAAATTAATGACTCATGGACAATCGGCTTCCGTCCAACTATCGACGTTGCTCGTCGAATTAGAATATATTAAATACATTTATTTCGTATTTTCTACGAACATTTTTAAAAGGTGCATTCACGCTTCGTCTAACGTTCGAAAATCTAAGAAAAGTTTCTAACGAAGTAGGTCACATTGCCAAGATAAACGATCAATGAAATCGAAGACTTTATTTAATATTTACACACGCTTGTTAAGACACGCTCCTTTACAACATTCCGTGGACAGTTTTACAACACTTGAGACAATGCGTGTGTTGTATAAACACGTAGAAGGTAGAGTTACGTAGGGTATGATAAATTGTTCACAATTTGTCATTCTATTTATAGAAAATCGCGATTACGAGGTATCGTATATACGCGTTTCGAGCATTGTTAATTCTACCGTGGTAAAATTGATCAAAATAGTTGTTTTAATTTATCGTTTCGTACGTAAAAGTTCGGCTTATGTAATAAATTTTTGAATAATACACGAGGGTCTTTGATCGTATTGCATATGTATTTACGATGAGCCCGGTTAAATAGCAAGGTCGTATCGATATAGTTCCACACAACTTAAAAGACAGAATGATTCGTCAAACGACAAAAACTTCAAATATATACGTACAGCTCAATTATCTAACTATTAGTTTCGTGGATTGCACGACGTTCACGTAATCCTTTTTCTCTGTTATCACGTATCGTCTAATATCGTCGCACGTATGCAATTTTATTTTAACTTTATCATTCGCATCGTTTGCTAAATAAAATGGAAGCTTTTTTCACACACACATGAAACGACTTCCAATCGGGGAAACTCTCAAGTAAAAATCGGTTCTCAGATAAAACATTATCTTCTGTTTGATTGTTGAAGATAGAGGAAGGTTTTAATACTTATGGACCGTTTAACATGTATACAAAAAATCGCTTTATTTTAAAGCAATCATAGTAGTAATGGTTTTATAAATTTTTCTGGCTACTATATTACATATGGCAATAAATATTTTAAAAAGTTGGAAAAAATATTCTACAATATCTTCACCGTAATAAAGTGCAATATACTCCTATTTTTATATACACATTTATACAAATTTATGCATGTACAGAATTGAGAACACGCTTATCAATTAATTTAACATGTTTGTAAAAGTTTAATATTACAATTTCAAATATTCAGAATGGAAAACGCTGCGATGTGCAATTATTGATGTAGCAAAAATGAATGATTCTTCTGCATTATGATTTACTCGTTGCCCTTGTTTAATTATCTTTGAAAGAATCAATCATTGAACCTATTGCTTTATTTTATTTTTAACATCACAGAATAATCGGCACTAACTTCTATTCCCTTTGTTGAACTTAATTATAAAGAATATGCCAGCAAAATAGTTTAAGAAATGTAAATGATATTATCGCTATTTCTAGGGATCCATTCATACACCATAAGAATACAAGACATTATTCAAACATCATGATTTCTTCCATTTTTATCTTATCAGGCTTATATTCTCAGACATACTCTTCATCAACTTATCAGTTATGAGAAATAACATTTCAAAAGGAAAATTATACAATAAGAGTACAAAACTTTTGCAATCACATATAAAACTTACTTTAAGGTATGAATAATGTGTTTGTAAATGATGTATACGATAATTGTCTAACGTGTAATCCTATAAATATATTCTGTACTCGTTCAATGTATTGTTTACAAATACATTAATAAGAATTGCACAGTGTTAATTGCAGACCTGTGTGTTATTTACGATAGATTGAGCTTTACACCAAAAATTTAATACAAGTAATATGAGGAAATATGAATTATGCTTATTTTTTTTATAAATGAAAACTATACAAAAATATAGTACCAAAATACAGCCCAAAATATAAATAAAATATACATTATGCGCGAGAACTTATTCGTGTGCTTATTTAAAAAAAAAAAAAATAATAAAATTTTTTCGAGTGAATTTGAATGAAGTATTGTAATCGTATATGTTTATATTTTTTCAAATTTCCAAAGTACAGTACGAGTGAATAAGTGCTATTAAAAAACTGTCTATTTATTTAAAAATATTTCTTAAGTGCGTATTTTCGTTAATACTGCATCCGGTTTAATATTTCTAAATAAATGGTTGTTACCAAACTCATAAGATTCTTTCCGAATACATGATTCCTTAAAGTATTTTACACTCCCAGTTCAACGCATAATGCCAATTTACTTTCTAAAATTTTTAATGAATTTAAAGAATGTCAATTCATAGAAATCATTCGAATTTGTTTAATGTAACACATGTTTAAAACGACTTTAAAGATACTAATTTAAATTTGTTTGCATATAGAATAAATTTTATGTATCCTACAATGTGTATAATAATCTACAGACGTCACTTGGTCACACCGTTATCTATATTGAGTTAAAAAATATTTGATTCAAATATAGTGTAGAGTATATTACTAGAACCAACAATTAGAACTTCTTTTTATATTACATAAAGTAAAACATAATTTAACACCTCAAACTACGTGCTACTAGCTATGCTTGGTTAGATCTCCTACTTCTGCGAGAAGAACTTGAAAATAATGGACGTGGTTTGTATAAGTCATCGCTTGAATAACGTTGACTGCTTCTATGCCGGCTGCAATTACATAACATACTAATTACAACATTAACAGTAATTACAATGTGAACAGTAAAAACAGATTCATACCCCGAATAGAATGTTCTATCGCGAAATGTGTATATAAAAAAAAAAAAAAAGAAATCTTTCTAAGGTATTACATCAGCAGTACCAACTCAACAGTAGATAAAAGTTAGAAGTGCTCATCGTAAAAATAATTATTCTACATACCCTTTATCTTCTTTAATTAGATTTGACGATGGTATTTTTTCACTTGTCGCAGATACATCGCTTTCCGGACTTAGGGGCATAACAAAGTTTTCTCCGTTTAAAAGTCCTTGGGGAGTACAAATGTTTGCTTGAAGTCTTTGCTTCTTAGGTGCGACAAGTTTCCTTTTTTTTATACTATTCAAAACATCTTCGTTTGGTAAATTTAGCGCCCTTTTATGACCGTCGTTGTTATTATTCGAGTTATTTAATAATATATCCGTCAAGGGGCTAGTTGAGTGTTTGCGTTTCGGTAAAGGAGGTGCCATAGCTTTCGGTATCGACGACACAACTTGTCCTCCTAAACTCTCTATTATATCTTCCAAAGAACTACTTTCTACTAGTTCCAATGATTCTAAGAAATTCGAGAATTTTTCTGATTGTTTGTTATCTGCTTTGAAATAACGACAATCTTCGTTCTCTTCGGCTGTCGTCGATGTAGATTCTGCAGACCTCTCGTCGCTTGTTACATGATCTTTAACGATGGATCTGCTTACTTTAGAATAGCTATTATTTAGAATATCCTGGGAAATGTTATCTTTATCTTTAGGCTTCGACAACGTAGATACTTCCACGAATCTTTTATCTTTTAAATAATTTACATCGTCTACTGAACCATTTGTTGCGTTCAACTGTTCTGGAGTTTTATATTTATCATTATATTCGTCTGTATTACCGTCGAAAGAGCTAGATTTTTGAAATATTAAATGTTTATCTAATTTAGATGTACTAGGTTCGTGCTGTAACTCATTTTGCTTGGAACATTTTTCTACGCGGACATCTATATTTTCTGATTCTGTTATATTACTTTCTATTGTTTCATCCATCGCAGAAGTCAGCGACTCTTTATTTTGTAACTCTCCCTTCCCCTCGCTGTTGGAAACTATTGTTTGCGCATCGCTTTCTTGTTGCGAAGGTACGTTTTCTAACATCATATTAGGAAGCGTTTCGCTCAATGATTGCTGTATACATAATTCCATGTCTGACAATTTTAATTTTAAATCGGAACGCGTTTCCAATAACTCCTTTGCACCTGCTTCGCTTTGTAACATCATTATCGATCTTTCTTCCAATGTCAAATTGGTATGGTTCTCAGGATACGGCTCTTCGTACTCCTCATCTGGTATTTCTATTATTTGAACTCGTTCTTCGTCTGGTACACTTTCCAAGTTGTCAGTATTCACGGCATTCGATTGCACCGGAGCTTCTACTTTCTGCTGGAGTTTTTTCTCTATCTTCTTACTCTCTTTCAGCTTCTGCTTCTCTATCTGCTTTCTAATTTTCATTAATTTCTTAGCCTCGTGTAAATTCTTTGCAAATTTTGGTTTCTTCACTTTTATTTCTCCTAAAGCATTGTTGCCGTCGTCAAATAACTGTCGTTTCTTCAGGGGCAAGTTGATGTCGTTAGATTCCGATTCGTGTTTAGTATGCGTTTCGTAATTACTACTATCGTCTGTTTTGCAATCTGTATACAATTCTTTGTTTAATTTATAATCCTGTTCTTCTAACGACAATTTCAATTCATTTGTATGCGCTTCCTCGATGTTATCCGACGTTTCGCTACCAGAATTACTCATATGATTTGTTTCTTTGGATAAGGTAGACGCATTTGATTTACTGTTTGCAATGTTAGAATTGGAAGTACTAGATTGTGAACTTTTACTACTAGACCCGTTTGATCCATCTCTATCCGTCGAACGCCGATCGTTAGAATTTTTTCGTAAACTAGAATGATCATCTTTCGATTTGGATTTCTTTTCATCCTTTCGCTTTTTGTCCTTATTTTGTGGATCGTTCTTATTATCTTTTTTATTATCCAATTTTTCATTTCGTGTCGAGCTTTTATTTTGTATATGATTTTTTATATCTTTTTTACCATTTACCTTTTCACTGCTCGATTTAACATCTTTCTTTATATCAGATTTTTCAATTTTCTCTTCTTTTTCGTTCTTTACAAGTTTCCTTCCATCTTGTTTATCAGATTTTTCCGTAGAATCTGATTTAATATTTACATGATTTTTCGACTTTACATCTTTCGAGCTACGTTTTTCATCTCGTTTACCCTTATCTTTCGACTCGCTTCGTTTCTCCTTTCCATCGACTTTATCGGAAGTTTTTATAGCTTTAATTTCATGAGAACTTAACGAAGAATTTTTGGAAGAACTTTTGTGGTCTTTTTTATAAGATTTCTTGTCCTTCTGAGGGTCTCTCTTTTCTTTATTTTCCTTGTTCGGCTTTGTTTCTTTACTGTCTTTATTTAATTTTTCTTTCTCCGTTAATTCCTTCTTTTCTCGAAGTTCCCTAATTTTTTCTTTATAGAGATCTTTTAAATCCTTTCCTTCTTTACTAACACTATCTTTCTTATCCGTTTCTTTTGTTTTATCTTCTTTTACCTTGACGTAACCATCCTTTTCCAAGTCTTTATTTTTATCTCCACTTTCTCTTGGTTGATCGGTTTTCTCTTTGGATTTACTTTTGTCGTATTTATCGGACTTTGTACTACTATGACTTCTTTGCTTCTTTTTCTCGCTACTCCTGTCCTTATGATGCTTTCCATCTTTTGTGTGATTCTTTTCTCTTGATTTTGATTTAGATTCGCCATCCCTGCTTCTGTCTCTGTTATTCTTTTGCTCGTATTTGTCTTTTACACTACTATCTGTCGCGTCGCGAGAATTTTCTTTCGAGGATAAATTGTACTTAATATTTTTAGAATCTTTAACATCGTGCACATCTTTGCCTCTATTTAATTCAAAAATATTTTTACTTTTATTTTTACTACATTCGTATTCTCTGACGGCTTTAAAATTGTCTTTAACTCCCTTAACATCACATTTGTCTTTATTGACTTCATCTTTTAGAGCATCCTGTATAGGCGTCGACGCATGATTCGAAGATCCAAAGTCTGTCACGATCGACAACCGAGAGTCCGAAGAGACTTTGCTTAGCTGCGAATCCTGATTACTATAATCAAAATTATCTCTAGATAGTTCGTTACAGTATTCAGGGCTCCTTGATCTGTGGCTGGTTAATTCCGATATTCCCGATAAGTGTGAATCGTTAGAGACATTAGATTCATTTAAATTCATAATATCTATAGGTTCAAAAGTAGGACTGTCCTCCTCGTCTTCTTCCGTTTTATCATCAGACCTCCCAGACGTATTTAAATTTAAATTACTACCAGTCTTATTAAAACTTTTGCCACTTTCATCTAATGTTTTCTCTTCGAATGAGATTTCCCCATTTTCCAAAGTATTACTTTTATTTTTCTCGTTCAGAGCTTCTTCCTCTTCCAATTTCTGTTCGTAAGACGACTTTTCATCTTTCTTCAACTCCAAATCATCCATGGGGTCCATAGACTCCAAAGACACATCTTTCAAACTATTTTTGTCAGACTCCGGCGAAACAGGATCTAAATCCTTAGGTAACAAATCTTTAAGGCCACACGCACCGTTTCTTTCCCTTGCCTTGGGTCTTTCTATGCCCAAAAACTTGTATACTACATCTTCGATCTGAGGCATAAAGACAGAATATATTTTTGGATTTACTACTTGATCTACTATACGCTCTACACCGGCGTCCAAATAAGGAACCTCGTGTATGTGTTTGCGTAAAGTCTCCCTCAATTGATTTTTGTTTAAGTCTGGTTTCCATGATTGTTTGCTAAGGAAAGTATTCACGGATCCTTCGACTCTTGTACGTAAATTTTGATATGCTGGCTGTAACGAAAGTGTCATAAATTGTAATTGACATTTTTCTGTCATTTATCAGGGGCAAGCGATATCTTCCCACAGATACATCCTATATTATAGTGGGTGGTACAAATACATTGATCTTGTTGAGTGCATCATTAAAAGGATTTTTTTGCAGCATTACGGTTCATTGCACTTTTCATTTGCAACACGTACTCACTTTCCGTACCAGTATTGAATTGCTAGCACCCTACAATCGAGGGTAACAGCATTTTGGCACCTCGCAGCTTCTCCAAAGTCACTATATTTGTACCATTGACCGTGCATACATGAGTATCTATGATTCTATATTATGTACGTACATAGTATAGAAATATTATTTGACACAATCACGTACATACTTTTAAAATTATTCAAGGCTGTAATAAACGATGGGGTCGGTTGTTAAAAAATATATTGCGTACCTTCGTATCAACATCAGCGATACATTCCTTACGAAATTGATCAAAAATTCCTTGGGATTTAACTTCTCCAACGATATGATCGACTAATCGTGGATCACCCGCCAACAACGTGTTGGATAAACCCAACTCCATGCTAACTAAGCTATTTAAAACAACGATAATTCACGTGAACACTAAACAGTTATTCATTTTCATTACCGAAGTCATCCCGTGAAACAGTACGCAGCCATACTCTTTCTGGCTTTGCGTCTAGGTTAAATGCTGTGTCTGTGTAAGTATAAATAATAATCAGTGATACCAATCCCCTTGTTTCTTTATTTACATCGAAACGTACTATAAAATAGAGAATAGATAAACGTCTGAGTCAGTAGTCCATTTTGCGTCGCGCGAAATAATCAAAAAGAAAAATTCACTAGCAGAAGCTAGCGTAAATTTATTTTTTCAACAGATTCCCGAATCATCGTTGTTTCTATGTTTTATTCGAAAGAAAGTGTTTCTCAATCTTTCGAAATTGCTAGATAAATCGAGTAGCGAACGATGTTAAAGAATAACGTAAAAAAATTAAGAAACATACGACTTATGTTTTACTTGAGAAAAGCGCGGGTTGAGTCAAGTTTGAGAGACACTGTTATAGGCGTATTTAACATGGCAACTTAGCTCGACTTAGCTTGGCAACTTGTTCGGTGCCGTTCGGTGTCAAACCTAACTTGTTCGTATTCCTGCCACTTCGTCTAGTATTTCTTACTAGTACTATTTTATTGTATTGTATTGATTTTTTTTTATCGCTAATTAGTTATGAAGAGGGTAATCCTTTTTTTAATTGGAACCGACGTGAACGGCAAGGTGGCTGTAATTTTACTCGTATTTGTGATTAATCGTATCTTGCTGTCTGCTTTATATATTCGCTCAATTTTTTTATTTACTTTTTTTTAAAAAATTTGTATTACTTGTCCATGCCAGGTATTTATGGTGACTCATTCATTGGACGAATTACTAGCAGCTGCTAGCTCAAAGTTTCAAATAACTGCCAAAAGAATATTTACCCCTCAAGGTGGAGAAATTGATGATATTAAGTTAATTCGGTAAACTGATTTACTGATTAACGATAAATATTTAGGTATACATATATAGATTTAATAAAAAAGAAAACGTTCTTTTATAGAGATGACGATATATTGTACATTTCGGATGGAGAAGATTTCATTCCAAAGGATAAGATTAACAGTCGCAATCAGTTGAGTAGAAATTTAGAATGGATTACGTTAAATGTTGGTGGAAAGTATTTCACAACAACCAGAGACACATTAACAAAAACAGAACCAACAAGTATGCTGGCCAGGTAAGCACATTTCTTACTTTATTAATAAAGTATTACTGAAATATTAAAATACTAAATTGACGCTAATGAAATCATTTATAGAATGTTTACGGAATCTACAGATAATGAACAGAGAATCTTGCCTAGCAGACAAGATGAAATGGGCGCATTTTTGATAGACAGGAGTCCTACATATTTTGAGCCACTATTAAACTATTTAAGACATGGGCAGATGACCCTTGATGCTAATGTTAATCCTTCTGGTATACTTTTTATTATATTGTGCACATTGTCTTGCATTGTATGTGCTACAGTCGATGTCACAGATATTATTAACGTGTTTTAGGGGTTTTGGCAGAAGCGCGTTTTTATGGAATAGAAGGGGCTATTGAGTTACTGATTCCAATGATCGAAGATTTTCACAAAAGTAGCTCTGTATCTTTAACTCGAAAAGATGTACTTAAAGTCATCATGTCAACGCCTATGACTACAGAACTTAGGTTTCAAGGTGTTGATTTTACTGGTGCTGATTTGTCAAAGTTAGATCTCAGGCATATTAATTTTAAGGTGCTTAAAATTATTTTGATATTAAGATAATTATTATGTTCATTCAAAATTAATTTCATATAATTATTTTAACACGTGTTTCAGTATGCAATTATGCGCGGTTGCAGTTTGGCGGGTGCAAATTTATCAGGCTGTTGCTTTGAACGCGCGGATTTATCCAACGCAAATCTGCAGGGTGCTCAGCTTGTTTGTGTGAAAATGTTACGCGCGAATCTTACTGCTGCCAATCTTCATTCGTGTAATTTTGAGGACCCTTGCGGTTTACCTGCCAACATGGAGGGTGCAAATTTAAAAGGTGCCAATCTCGAGGGTAGTTACATGGGTGCCGTAAATCTTAGAGTGGCAACGTTAAAGAATGCCAACCTAAGAAATTGTTATCTTAGATCAGCTGTTCTAGCTGGTGCTGATTTAGAGGTAACATTTTTTTGCATGCATTCGCATAGGAAAACACATCCTTCTTCTTTTATTTATAATAAAAACTATAACATATTCACATCTGTTTCAGTGCTGTGATTTATCAGGATCTGACTTACAAGAAGCGAATTTGCGGGGCGCAAACTTGAAAGATGCTGCGTTCGAATTAATGTTAACTCCGTTACATATGTCTCAAACGATACGATAATAATTAATGCAATGCCCCGCGTGTTCTGCGGCGGTTTAGCCTCTGTGATCTAGGTATTTATTTAATTTGTAAGATAACAAAAATTTAAGTGATAGTGCTTTCGTCTTGATATTGCCATTCTCTGATACGTTGCAGACGATATGAAAGTACAGACTGAGAATTATATTGTAATTGCTACGCTAGAAAGTGTAAAATTGAGTTTGTATTTATTTAGAGGAATATATCAGTCATCAATTTTTACTTCCATTACGATATCGAGCCAAATGATAATGAAAGAGATAACGAAAAGTTGTAATAATTAACGAGGATAGTTGGTTACGAATAATTTGATACTTTATATTTTTTAAAGTATATATCGCGTACATGTAAATTTAATGCACGTTAATGTAAATTATTATATGTATAGTTCTTTATCTGTATAAAGTACAAAATATCTCATTTTCTTTGTTATACAATCGATCAGTTTATATGATTGTGTCCAGTGTGAATAATTTATTATCAATGATGAAATGTAGTTTCATGATTGCATATATTTTACTTTTTAAATAAAAATATAATATAAATAGCGAGGTATACCTAATAAGTTTAGAGAACTCGAAGAGCCAAAATCTTTTGCTTTTCTATTACTATAAAAATAATTAATAACTTGAAAGCTTTGTATACGCATATAAACTTATACACAAAACTGCGTGCTTAGAAGATATTTAGCTCGTGTCATGTTTATCACAAGCCACACCTCGTATACAATGTCTCAAGAAGAGTTGAGCAAATTTTACTCGGCATAATAAATAACGATTTTACCATTTTTACAAGCGCTTAATTTCCTGTACAACACTAGACTTCTGATGTATATACTGGTATAAGATATGTATTATTTTTTAGACACGATTGCGACTTACAAATACGAACGGTTTACAAAGTTACATTTTGTATGTATACAATTATTCGAAGATTTAGTTTGAATAAATATTATGTACAAAACATTTATCGACAAGCACTAATTTTCGTTGTCTTTTCCATCTCATTACCTAACCTAGAATTCAACTTGTGATCGATACTGTTCGCATCGGGAAGAATCCTTGGTAATTACTTAATAATAATCAAAATCGTACAAACAATGGTAACCTCGAATGTTGCGATTGACCTACATATCATTCCATAAGTGCAAAAGTTCATAAATCATTTCTGGAATGATGGTTATGACGATTCTGTAATTCTGATATGATGATTTCCAAAATGGCTGTCTTATAATACCTATTCTTGTCGCACGTGTTTCGCTCTCAGGCGCCATCTAGCGGACGAACAATTGAAGCTTAGATGGGGGTAGACGAGAGAGAAAGGAATACATAAGACAAGGATAGCTACATTTGAGGATTTACTGACGCCATCTAGCGGCGGAATGGCAGAACTATTTCACGACAAGCTTGAGCGGTCTGTTAGTAGATGGCGCCACTAAAAAAAACCTCGCTGTCCTTGTCGCACATGTTTCGTTCTCTCTCGCACTCACACAAAGGGTACCTGTCAATGCCCATAAAGAATTTCGCAGGTTATCTTATCGAATACTCATTGATTATTAATTAATAATAATCAGAATCGTATCGCTAATGGCCCTTGAATGTTGCTACTGGTCCAGACTTTATTCAAGATGCGTCAAAGTGCATAAATTATTTGCTAATAATTAATAATTTGAATGATTCCAAGTACCGGTAAAGGATTAACCTTGGCGAACAATGATTAATTGTTACTTAATAACAATTAAAACAATGAAAATCGTATGGAAAATGGTCCCTGAATGTTGCTAGCGATCTATACTTGATATCACAATTGCAAAAGTGCATGAATTATCCCTGGAAAGTCAGGAAATTATTGATAATGTCTACTAACATTCGGTGGAGTGTCGCTATCCTTGTCTTACATGTTCCGTTCTCTTTCTTACACACGTACTCGAGCTTCGAAAGTTCGGCCGCTAGATGGCGAGTCGGACAGTTGTCACGAATGATAGCTACATGTCATATGCCGATTCCAAACATACATGCACTCCTCGTCAAAATTTGAATGGCTGTGTTTCTGCGAAAAAAGGTCGCAAAAAATATTTAAAAGACGCATTTTAAAGCTTGAAGTTTCTACTTTTTTAATCAAGGACTCAATTTTTTTCTACGTCGATTATAATATTGTCTTTTCAAAATGAAGCACAGGAAACGAAGTTTCAGAAATTTTTGCCTGGTTTGGCCGTATGCACGGGCTAAAAAAATTTTTTTCACATAAATCCAATAGATGATTCTTATAGAGCAAACGTTCCTCTTTAATTTCGTTTTTTTGGTTTTGTCGTATGATTTTTATTGATCGAGTTATTCGCTATCCAAGCAAAAAAGGAACTTTTTACTTTGAACGTCTACAACTTGCGAACGCATGATCGTAGAAATTTTTTTACGAGTGTTTTGGAAAGCTAAGACAATTTTCTTTCAGGATCCTTAGTTGCCAATTCAATGAGATCTTTTTTTAACCGTATTAAATTTATTTAAAAATGATCCCAAGAATTGCATACTTACCATTTTCTAGAAAACGTGATGTCACTTCAAGAAAAATCATGGAATCATTTGATTGTTCATTTTTTGTTGTGAGGTGAAACTACTTGGAAAGGAAGAAGTCGGCTTTCTTTTGGTGAACTTTAGTTGTAGTTATAAACTTTAGGGAGCTGCAGCCAGTACTTAATTTTACATCGTAGAACTCTCGTAAGGAAATGCTTAATACTAAGGAACAGTGTAAAGTAATATTAAATTTTAATTTTGATATATCAAGTTTTTTATTATCAACTATATAGTTTAACAAATGGTTATTAAACGAGACAATTCGTTAGTTAGACAATCGATTCGTTAATGTTTTGCAACATATCACAGTGTATTTTTTTATTGACAAATGTATAACCGACGTTGTACGGTCGCGAAAACGGTGCCTGTATGTATAATAATTGTCAGACAACTAATTTGTAGACATAATGAAATATAAAAAATTTAATATGAGTAGGTACAATATAATAAACGATCCAGTACTTTTCACGCCAGCTCCTGATGTTGGTCAAGAAATGGCTCCACCGATTCGTTTTTTCTGGTATTTAAAGATCTGACATACACTCATAATCTACTCTTCAAGTTTAAATTATTGAATATTATGATTGCTTTGATATAAAATTATACATAATTTTATGTATAATATAATATTTAGATTATGATGACTGGACTTGATCCCTTTCCTTCCGTTTCTTTCACCAATCTTGCATCCGTTATCGTGCGATCCCTAAACTACTACCCAAACTTTCGACGTTTCGAAAGGAGCTTCGTATAACGACGCATCCATTAACGATAATTATTTCCTGGTTAAGTACAGTTCCGAACTACCCTCGGAAGCTCAGCGTTCTCATCCGAAGTTCTCATCGATAAATTACCGCTAAATTTCCTCGATTGCGAATTACAAGGGAACATATTTGACACGTATTTTTTAAGATTGAAAGACCGTTTGCCGATGAGCTGGACGAGTCCACAGCGTTGCGAACTATCGTATCTGTAAACCTTGCTCTCGCAGATTCGTTCTAATCTCGTTTCCCGAGGTCCAGGAACATTCGCGTGGCACGCGAGAGTTACCTTTGCCTCTAATGAAATCACTATAACTAGACATCATGGTGGTTTACAAGGTAATTCTATAAATAATGTACAATATTACATTAAAAGATATATTTAAAAGAATAAAAGAACAACAAAGGATCCCTTTAGAAAAGTCACGTTACACGTAACATTTCGTGACCTAATTCATACATTTTTTTAACGATAATGGTTAACGTTAGTCTTTCAACGAGTAGCGTGCACTTCCAGCCGCGTTCAATGTCTCTCTTTCTCTCCCCATAAATGTCATTTAATTTTGTTTTATCGAATTTCCACGCAATCTTATCCGCAAAGGACGGCGGTGGTAAGATTCCGTAATACGAATCGCTCGAGTCTCCTTTGGACACCGGAAGTCTTCACCTCTCTGCTTCCGTTTCTTTGTCAGATGATAGACGACTCGCGTGTGTGCGAGTCGAGCGATGGAGAGTGCACAGAGGGAGGGAGGGAGGGGGTGGGGCGGGCGGGCACATTTTGAGTCTTCTTTGATGTTAAATTGCTCTGAGAAAGGAGGCTGCTAACCATTTTACCTAGCATCTCGAGGCGCAGCTTAACCATGCCACGGAACAGGCGGTGCTATATCGTGACTACGCTCCTGAAACAGCGGCTGTCGCGATACGTGCAGGGAATCTAAAAAGAAAAGCAACGCCTGTTAAAGATAACGCAAGCTTTCATGTATGTATAAGTTATCGATGTATAAGTATCGTCTCCATAACTGCACAAGCTCGGGACCGACCTTGTGCAGTTATCGTAGAGTTTGTTCTCTGTAGTATATCGAGAGTATATTCTCTGATGTTTGCCGACTAGCTTCGAACGTACAGAAGCACAGCGAATAAAGAAGAGGATGGAAAACACAAAAGTATGTCGGTGAGACAATTTTTATTACTAACTTTTAAGAGATAACTCAAGAGATATAACCCCCTGGTGGGACTGGTTTCTACGCGTTTATCGTAGACAAAGGGATGTCTAGCAGGATAAGGATAGACAATCGGCATCCACCCCGATTTTCATTGTTTTCCAAAAGCAATGCGCGGCACATAATACCAATGAAAATTGGGGTGGCGACCGATTGCCGATCCTCATCCCGCTGGACCCTTTGTGCACTTACGGAGACATTACCGTACTTTGGTCGCGAGGAATCCATTCGTCCTAAAATACATCGTATCCGGCGCTTCGTGTTTTCTATTTTTGCAAAGAACGTCGCAAAAGCGAAAACGTCGTGTCGAGGGTCGGCCCGAAGTGTTCGAACATCGATTGGAAAAGAAAAAAGGACCGCTCGCGGTGAAAGAAACGCGCACGGGTGGAAGGGGGGGGGGGGTGGAGGAGGCAAGAAAGAAAGAAGGAAATACAGCGTGTCTAAGAAAGTAGGATTTTTCGAGGCTAGATCTTTCAAGGAGATAGACGGCGTCTGACAAAGCCGGTACGTGACCACTTGTGCCCGAGAAACTTTCCCTTGTATCTTTGGCCACCAACACGACATCGCGTGTACCTCTTTCCATTTTTTTCCCTCGTTTCGCGCGGCTCGAGATAAGAACGCCTACCCAAGGTCCTGCTCTAAATAGCGAACGGTACCTGACCTTCCGACCTCGACCCTCGCAGACCAAGGGACGCCGATACGATGAATCGAATTTTCAGAACGACGAACGCACTCGTAAAGTCCAACTGTCGTACTCGACTTGACGAATATTCCGAGTTTATTCGTAGTTCTCCAACGTTCATCGACTATTATACTAGCGAATTATTATTGTATTAGTGAATTTTTCTCTTGTTTTTTTTTTTTTTTTTTTTTTAAGAAACCAATTACGATGTTATGTACACTGGGCCGGATTCGAAAATTCTTCTTTTGGGCTACGATCTTCGCCTCTGACCTATTCTTCGGCCATTTCGTACTGATGCTCGGGAAAAAATGTCAGTAATACGATGGTAAAAGTTTTATAACAAAAGAGTATCACCGTTGCATTAAATTGTCTCACCGACATACTCTGGTATTTTCGTTCCATCCTATTCTTCATTCGCTGTCCTTCTCTACGTTCGAATATACGAACTCTACGATAACTGCACAAGGTCAGTCCCGAGCTTGTGCAGTTATGGAGACAATACTGTCGCAACAAATATTTGCACAGTCACGCGGGACCACTGAAAATTACACGTTTCGATATTCTTGGTTATCGATGACCAGCCGTGTTCCCCCGGTTTCATATCCGTTCTGCATCGGACGTCCGGTGTGCTTGATCAAATCGGGTCACCCGGTATAACTGCATAAGCCAGCTCATCACAGCCTATTAGCGGTGCGGTTTGTATTACGGGCATAGCCTGTTGCGGAATTGATTGTCGTCAATCTATTTCACCTGTTTTAATTCCATTTCGCCGAACATTATTTCCATGCTCGCAAACTTGACTTCGGAAATTTCTTCACCGCGAAAGAAACTAATTACTTATTGGTTAGTAATGACTGAACATTTTTAGGAAAAGCATCTGCCGTCTGCGCGGTGTGACATTACAGCAGAGTCATATTCTCGATCATTGCTTGAACAAACATTATTGATGATTAATGTAACTATTATCAGAAATTAATTTTTAGTTATTTCAGCTAACGGATACAACGATATAGGAACATTTCTCACGATTACTGTGTTCGATGAATACTTATTCTATCCAATTTGGTCTAATTGGAAAACTTGTATAAATAAAGGTACACAACGTACTGCTGTGTAAAACAAAAATAAAATATTATTGAACGTTTTGCGTAACAGGAATAAATCAAATGAATTTCACACGTTGAATTTTATTTATTCCATTTTTCTGGGTTGAAAGTCATCATTCATTTGTAGGTCATCTTGTGTTACATGGATGAATTCGTTATTTTGTCAGCTACAACGTTACGTTAACAAAGATATATCATTCCATTAAGAAAAAAAAAACATCGATGATCTTGAAATCTTATAAAAAAAAATCCTTGAAAACTTGTTCTCTAACACCGTTATATATGGCCCTTCGAACTTTATCCTAAGAAGTCTTTTTGTACAACGAAAAGTGACGGAGATAATTAGGTGTTCTGTTTCTTTGGACTCACCCTGTATATTGTAATATATATTCAATATGCTCAATTGGTATATTCTAAACAAAGTACAATCGTAATCAAACATAATTGAAAGTGCCACAGGCATATTTTCTTATTTAAAAACAAAACCCTGAAAATACCTTTTACTTCGTACTCCTTCCACCTAACACCAGCTCATATATTTCTCCCTAAATCTCTGTATACACACTATATTACGGTTTGCTTTCTCGTTCTCTATTTCAGTAGAAGAACTTGGAGGAAACATTTTTACAAAATTTGCCCTAGCGTAAGTTTATTCTACACGACCACTAACAAAATTTGCTGAACTACCGATGAGAGGAACTTACGTTCCTCTTACATTCCCCTTAGGTTCTCCTCATAGGCGACATCCGAGTGCAAAGGGTTAAGCCAGAGGTGCACGGCAACACGGTGCGTCGATCGATGCCCGAAATCCGTGGGGTTCTAACTGTTCGCGGAGGCGTGGATGTTCTGGCGGCGGCAGAGATAACCGCGCCACCGCGATAAATTCGCGGCGCACTTTACGTTTTACAGCGATATTCATTAACCCGCTGGAGCGGGATGAAAAATGCAGCGGCCGCGTAAACGAATACAAAAGTGCTCCGCTCAGCGCGGTGCGTTGGACGAAAGAGGGACAGAGGGAAAAGAGTGGAGAAACAAATCTAACGGCCGGGACGAATGAGGGCGGCAGCGATCTTCGAGTTCAGAGAATTGAACTCAAATACAGATAAGAGAGATAAGGATGATAAGGAAGATAAGAGAGATAAGAGAGATAAGAGAGATAAGAGAGATAACGACAGAGTGAGATAAGAGAAGACACGTGCTCATAAAGAAGAAGAAGTAATAAAGAAGAAGAAGAAGGAGTAAAGAGGAAGTGAAATAAAGAAGAAATAAAGAATAAACATTAATTGTAGTTTTTTTGTTTACAGGTAGGAAGTGTAAATAATGTAAATAATAGTTCCTAGGAAATATGTCAATATAACCTTGTTTACAGAGAAACAGTCTTGTTTATTCTGAAAATTCACAAAAATATCAACCCTCTTATATACATATATATAAATAAATATCGTAATTAACTGCGATACAGGATCGATAAAATTTCAATTACTTCTCTTCGTAGGAAAACAATTTCCGGCTTATTATTACTCAATAGAATATATAATCGAACCTCGTATACATTTCGAAAAGGAAAGCTCGGCTAAAATCACGAGGAGAGAAAGCGGTGGAATAAAAATTGCAGTCCACTTTGAATCACCGTTCGAACGGAACTCGGAGCGGACAGAGTGCATCCGTGACACCGTGGAAGAGGGCGGCTGCATTTGGGCACCGTCGAGGGGGGTTGAAAGCGGGGAAAGCCAGGGGCTGGCGGCGACGTTGGTCCGTAGTGTCTCCGCGGACAGCAACAACGCCGCCACGCAGCCTGTCGGGCTCCCGGTGCTCTCCTGCGCACCCAACCCCCGACAACCCCCGTCTGAATTTCCCGCGCGATCCCTTACGACTCGAGTGGCTCAGTTGCGCGCGGTGGAAGCTTCCCAAAGCGTCGACCTCGCCGTTGGAAATGATCGAAATACCTGAAAGATTGCCTCGATCGGTCCACCGGAAGCTATTCCACCCCCTTTCGAAACTGTTACAGTGATTAACCACCCCGTCAAGATACCCAGGCTCGTTTAATCTCTGCTAGGGGTCGATCCGCGAGGGGTCCGGGCTAAGGGTGGTAGGGAATCCTCGGTGAATGGAGGACTCGAGGTCTACGAGCCGCTCGGAGGGGGTGGTACGACGGGGGGAGCCAACGGGGTCTTCAGGGGTGCAATGTGACACAGTGAACTCGAGGGAAATCGAATCGACACTTCCGTGCGGTGGGAAGCGTCGATTTAACAGGCTTTAGTCCGCTTGGAAAAACGGAAGTGAAAGATTCGTCGCTGAATATCTGGAAACGTGGTTTGCGAGAAATAGTGATTTCGAACGGACGCAACTTTCGGTTTCTCGCGGGGACTTTTCGGAGAAAAGGCGAGGGAACGTTTCGAGGATCGAACAAGGGATCCCCGAGCAGCGATGAAAACCTTGGACGAGGCATCGATCTGACCTTTCGATAACCGTCGGGCTTTTTGTGTCGCGGAACGGTCTAACGTTCGCGTGTCGATCGAGCCTGTCAGACAGGAGGAGAAGCCCCTGTTCGGCTCTTTTTTCGCGATAGCGTTATCGTCGATTAAGGTAAGTTGTCTGTCACGCTTTGTTTTTTGAGGAGAAGGGTAGGCCATCGAAGTGCCTCCACGCGGTGTGCTTCCATGTTCAGATAAAGACTGGATAAGTGCAAGGAAATCGGTCCAACTTTCTGATCTATGTTTACATTTGACTCGAGTCGAGCGTCGAACGTAGAAAAGGACAGAGAGTGGAAGAGAAAGAGGTACGAGGAAAAAACACAGTCGGCAGAAGCGTATCAATCGTTCAGGATCATATTACAGTAAAGAATGGATAAGTACAAGAAAGTCGGGACTCAAACGTTGCACTTATCTGGGTTTAGATTTGGCTCGAGTCGAGCGTCGAACGTAGAAGACAGAGAGTAAAAGAGAAAGAGGTCCGAGAAAAAAAATCACTCGGCAGAAGCTTATCAATCGGTTAGGATCATATTACACTGCTCGCTCGCCAAGTGTCAAGGGAACCCCCTCAGTGGTGGAGATAGTCATCTTGCATTTATCCAGTCTTTAGTGTATCGAGCCTCCCATAGCCAAGAATGAGTCAAACGTGAACACGAATCGTAGAGTGTGGGACTGGTCGTGTAGGAAAAGCGGTCGATCGTGGATCCGAGGATCGTGGGTTCGAATCTTCGCGCCGTATTTATCGTAGGGACTCCTGGAAAATTATTTAAAATATCAGAGCCCACGCTATCGGCAGCCGAAACGTTGAGCATAGCTCATTAGCCGATTCGCGTGGAGCTAATGCCGGTAATTCCCTAGCGCTGATTAAATTCAATTCTGGGTGTGCCGTTCAAAGCGATCGAACCCGCAAGTATATTCGAAATTCAACGATCAGTTACAAGAACAGGGGACATCGCGCAATGCGGGCCCGCTTTGAATTGCTTTCCACTTGCCGCGTCGCCGACTCCTGTTACGCTTAAAAGCGCCTTTGCCTAAGCACGGGACTACCGTCCGCCGCGCTATGTAATTAATTTCTCATTCAGTGTCAGATTACATCGACTGCAGCTGGAAAGCGTATCAAAATCCAATGGGATAGGGTGCCATCGACAGACACCGGGTTGTATTATCGGGGCAACCAAGTCGACGGATCGGTAGCGACGGATCCGAAGCTAGCGCCTATCGGCTGCCCTCAAGCAATTCGACAAGTATCGATAGCAGGGGCGGCTTAACACCTCGACCCGGATCGCTATCGCTTTGACTCGCTAAATCGAACACGCGTTACGTGCTCGACGCGCGTTTTGAGTTCGGTGGAGTCCTTGCGCGTGGAGCCTGGTTCGGACCATTCCGTAAGCGTCTGTTTTTCGTTTGTTTTTCGCGCGATACGGGTCGCGTAGGTTGGAAAAGTAGAGATAACTAGATCGCACGACCAACCGCCATAGACAACGCAACTCCTATTCATGCGGTAGAAGGGTCTCGTCGAAGCGGTTGGTCGTACAACGT